GTCCCTCTCAGTTGTGAATACCGAAGAAAAGTATTCATTAAGGACCTCTCCTATCTCTTTAGGCTCTGTGCACAAATTCCCTTGAGAATCCTTGATCAGCCCTACCCTTTCTCTGGTCATTCTCTTGTTCTGCACATACGTGTAAAAAGCCTTGGAGTTTTCCTTGATCCTATCCGCCAAGGTTTTCTCATGCCCCCTTATAGCTCTCCTAAGCCCTTTCATCAGCTCCTTCCTGGCTAACTTGTATCGCTCTAGAGCCTTTTCCGTTCCTCTTTTCCTAAACTTTACATAAGCCTCCTTCTTCCTCTTAACCAGTCGTTCGACCTCTCTCGAGAGCCATGGCTCCCTCACACGACCGCATCTTCCCTGCCTGCTCGGGACAAACATATCGAGCACATGCAGTATGCATTCCTTAAACAACCTCCACATTTCTGTGGTGCTCTTCGCTGACAGCATCTGTTGCCAATTTATGTTACCCAGTTCTTGCCTAACTGAATTGTAATTACCCTTCCCCCAGTTATCAACTTTACCCTGCTGTATGTACCTATCCTTATCCATGACTATCGTGAAAGAAACAGAGTTATGGTGTAGCCTCACGAAGGCCCTATACAATTGCAGCAAGATATTACAAAGAGATTAGAATATGAAAGAGTGTCATAGGTGAGCATTGTACTCGCCTTCCTAATGGTTTGCTGTATCTGCACGTTAAATTTCTGTGGTACATGTACAAAATCCCCAGGTGCCTCAGAATACCAATATTTCTAAGTTTTCACTATATAAAAATATCATGCCAATTTTAGTTTTCCTTCCACTTTTCCAAGAAATTCCACACTTGCTACATTCTCATTGCTGGTTGGATGCAACTACAACACCATCTAGAATTAAACAGTTCCTTCATTCACAAGCCTAAATATTCAATTCCGCCACCATCAGATGCAGTGTGTAATAAAAACTAGATGCAACGCTGGAACTCAAATGTTTCTATGTCAGCACCATCCAAATCCATAACCTGCACTTTAGGAGAATAAGGCCACTAAGCATACAGGAACACAATCCTCATCAAGACCCATTCCAAACACACACTTTGCTGAACCTATTCCTTTATTGTTGCTGGATCAAAACCCCAGAAACTCCTACAAACAGAATGTGAGACCCTGTTCAGCACGTGAGCTGCAGTGGGTCAAGAGGCAGCCTACTAAGTTCTTCCAAGTGCAATTACGGACAGGCAGAACCGTCCACATCCTGAGAATGGAAAAGTAAAAAACCCGACAAAACCTTCCAGTTTTGATACCCCTGCACTCAACATCATGGTGGGAAAGCTTCATAACCAAAATTAGAATTTTGCATTTTGGCTGACATAGTTGATTCACTTACTCTTCAGTATGGCAGCACAGTGGCATTTTTCATTTACTTGTCAGAAAATTAGCCCCTGCTCTGCTCTACTATTTTGGTTATGGAACATCAAGAATCTGACATCAGATGTCTGCTCAAATATTTTACAGGCCCTAACTCAAGTTTTGAGGCAGCCGGCCTTTATGAACCTGCTGGAAGTTTCACCAACCAAGATCCACTCATAAAAGATAACTGTTGAATTTCTGTTGGCTCTATAGTTAACACATCAACTACTGTGTTAATGAGCCACCTATACTGAAAAAACACAGACTCAATATCTTGAGGCCCATTAGCTGGTGGTGTCAAACAATTAGCATTTGAACAGTGTTATTTCAGTTGATCTCAGAACCCCATTCAGATTATTTCCAAACTAAAGAAAAGCAGAAACAAAAGTACAGTGCTGGAGAAACATGGTAGGTCTGGCAGTATCTGTTGAGAGAAAAACAAAGTTAAGGTTCAATTCCAGTGCTCCTTTATTAGACCCATTGCGCTCCCCCAATAATTTGTTTCAGATTCCCAGCATCCAGTTCTTTGAGTTGATCAAAGGAAAGCAAACCTGTTCTGAGAGGGAGAAATATTCTAAAATGTGTGAAGAGCAAGTTAAAAAATCATTTAAACTACCTCACCATATCCTCCCAGTTTTTGGCAAATCTCTGTACTCATTCAGACTGAAAACAAAAAAATGCTGGAGAATACAGCAGGTCAGGCAGCATCAATGGAGACAGAGCAAGCTAACGTTTCAAATCTACGTGACTCCTCAGAGCTGGCGTGATGTGTGGAGGGGGCAGCATTTATGCAATAGTGGAGGTGGGGGAGGGTGGTGATGGGGGTGGAGTGCTGGGGGACAGAGACTGATAGTACAGATTAAGTGATCAGAAGGTGAGAACGTCAAAATAATGATGTGACTAACTGCCAGACTAGAAAGAACATAGTCCCACTGGAGTGCGGGGGAGTGGGGAGAGAGAACATGGTGACAGAGAATGGAACAAGTAAAGCAAAAAGGGAAGAAATTAGAGTGTGTTCACAATCTAAAGGTGTTGAACTCAATATTAAGTCCAGAAGGTTGCAAAGTGCCTAGTCTGAAGAGATGTTATTCCTCACGTTAGCACTGTGATTCACTGGAACATTGCAGCATGCAGAGGACAGACAAGTGGACATGCAAGCAGGATGGTGTGTTAAAATGGTCAGTTACTGGAAGGTGAGTGTCATGCTTGTGCATGGATTGGAGGTGCTCTGCAAAGTGGTCACCCAGTCTGCATTTGGTTTCTCCAATGTAGAGCGAATGTAGCAAATGCAGACTAGTGATGTTATTGCGAGGGATGGGATTATTTTCATTATGGGCAGCCAGTTGTTCTCGAGTAGGTGGTAGCGATGAGTTGCCTTCTTGAACCGTTGCAGTTCATAAACTGTAGGCAGACCCACAACGTCTTTAGGAAGGGAATTCCAGAATTCTGATCCAGTAACAGTGAAGGATTGGGGATATATTTTCAAGTCAGGATGGTGAATGGTTTGGAGGGGAACTTGCAAGTGGTGGTGTTCCCATATATCTGCTGCCCCTGACCTTCTAGATCAAAGTGGTCATGGGTTTGGAAGGTGCGAAGGATTTTTGGTGAATTTCTGCAGTGCATCTTGTAGATGGTACACATTACTGCTACAAAGTATTGGTAGTGGAAGGAGAGAATACTTTTGGACGTGGTGTCAATCAAACAGGCTGCTCCGACCTGCTCTTGTAGCCACTGCGGTGAGTTCAGTTGAGTTTGTCGTCAATGGTAACCCCCCAGGATGTTGATGGTGGGGGATTCAGTCTTAGTTACACCATTTAATGTCAAGGGGCACTGGTCAGATTTCCTCTTGTTAGATATGGTCATTGCCTGGCATTTGTATGGCACCAATGTTACTTGCTACACATCAGCCCAAATCTGGATATTGCCCAGACCTTGTTGCATTTGAACATGGACTGCTTCAATACCAGAGGAGTCACAAATGGTGCTGAACATTGTGCAATCATCGGCGAACATCCCCACTTCTGACCTTATGATGGAGGGAAGATCATTGATGAAGCAGCTGAAGATGTTTGAGACAAGGACACTGTCTGGAGGACTCCTGCCGAGATGGCCTGGGGCTGAGGTGACTGACTTCGAACTACCACAATCATCTTCCCATGTGCCAAGTTGGACTCCAACAGCTGAGAGTTTGCCTCTAATAGCCATTGATTCCAGTTTTGCTAGGGCTCCTTGATACTACACATTGTCAAATGCAGCCTTGATGTCAAGGGCTGTCACTCTCACCTCACCTGTGGAAATCAGCTCTTTTGTCCATGCTCAAAGCAAGGCTGTAATGAGGTCAAGAGGTGAATGGCCCTGGTGGCACTCAGCAGGTTACTCCCGAGGAGGTGCTGCTTGACAGGACTAATGATGACACCTTCGATCATATCCAAACTCAGAAAATGGTAAGAAATAGGGAGTAGGCCATTTGGCCCTTGGCCTGCTTCGACATTCAATATCATCATTGCTGATCTGATTATGGCCTTCAATCCACTTTCTTGTGCCTCAACCCCGATACTAACTGAATTTCAAAGATTAACAACCCTCAAAAAGGAAATTTCTCCATGTACCTTAAATGAGAGACCTCTCATTTGCAAATTGTGCCCCAGTTCTAGACTCCTCTTTGAGGGGGAAACATATTGTCATTGACCCTGCTAAGCATTCTCAGAATTTTAAATGTTTTATTAAGATCACCTTTCTTTCCTTTAAAGTTCTAAAATGAATATAGTTCAAAACTTCGATCAAAAAAAAAATGAACCTCTCAATGTGATATGAATTCAATGGGCCAATAGGCTTCCTTTTGCATTATAATAACTTATATGGGACCTTATTGCCAACAGGTAGTGATGATACACGATCATTGCAGGCTGCATATTAAACCTGGTCTCAGGATTTCCTATTATTTCCATGTAATCCCGGAACTGCTGGGGTCATAAAGTGCACATGTTAAACTTCTATATGAATCAATATCTTCTTCCTAGATCAGTCAATGAAACCGATTCATTTCTCCCCCCACACACACAGCCTGACCATATTCTCCGCAAACAGCAATGAGATTAAATTACTAGGCAGTCTGTATTATTGAGGAATTGTTGAATGTCAACACACAAGGAGAGGTCCCTGCTCTTCTTTGAAAAGTGCTAGGCAATCATTTACATCCACTCTGGTCATCATTGAACATCTCCTCCAAAAGACAACAACCCCAAAATATTCCCATAGTACTGCATTAAACCGGTGGTCCAGATTATATGTTCAGGTCCCGAGTGCGGCTTGAACCATGACTTCAATTGCTATCACTGAGCTAAATTGGGCACTAAAATGATCTGACCTTTCCTGTGTATATTATCATAAATATCATAAACAAAAGCAGCAAGCCATTTACTATGACAAATAAAAATACTAGGACTAACCATTCAAAATTATAAGTCAATTTGTTTCAAACATAACAACGACAATGAAGGTAGAATTATCATGTAATCTGTATTGCAATTTCAAATTTTACCTCGTATTTTAAAAATCCAGGTTAAAAGTTCATTAAAATAAACAGATAATAAAATAGCTGACCTGTACATTTTCTATAATTTCCTGCACACGAGTCAGTAAGGCATTTTTTCTCGCTTTCTGCCGCCTGAGCTCCAGTTCCACAGCTTTTTGTCTATACTGCTGCATCTCCAGCTTCCTTTCACTATTCATCTGTAATAGGAACAATTACCTTGATTCAGTTGAATGGTGTGAAAGCTTTCAGCAAATCTAAAGCTTATTACGATGATCCAATTTCAAACCTCCCAAAAACCAAGCTTACTTAATCAGAAGTACCTGCGCTGCGTATTGTCAATACTACTTATTCGCTCCATTAGTTAGATGATGAATAACCCAAAGCTGAAATAAAGTTATCAAATAACCAGCTAAAGCTTAGTTGTTGACCAGGCTCACGAAAGCTTATAACTATTGTTTAAAGTAATTTCCTATTTCAAAGACGCTACGCTTATGAAGCTCTCATTGGCTAAGTAACCCAAGTCAACATACGATCTTGTTTAAACACAGTTGACAATAATGGTGCCACCTATCATTTTACAAGACAAAACGAGATAAACGCAAACTAAAAATACCTTAGCAAATATATTTGATTAAAATATGTTGGTTTCCATAAATCTGTTTCAGAGACCATCCAGTTCTTTCCTATTGACTCTAAGTAACTTCGAACTTAGCAGACATAACCAAGCTGGCCACAGAAACCAAAACAACTTTCCATTACGTACCCGCCTTTGTGAACGTATGCAATAGTCTGTACCTAGTTCATAAGTCCGTAAGAAATAGGAACAGAAGGTCATTCAGCCACTCAAGCCTGCTCCTCCATTTAACAGGATCATAAGTAATCCGGCATTCCTCACATTCACTTTCTTCCATTTTCCCGTAACCCTTGATTCTCCTACTAATCAAGAATCTATCTCAGAATTAAATACACACAAGGACACTGCCCCCACAGCTCTCGGTGGGGAGGAGTTCCAAAGACACTCAACCCTCAGAAGATATTCCTCCTCATTCCAGTCTTAGATCGGCATCCCTTTATTCTAAGGCTTTGCCTTCTGGTCCTGGACTCTCCCATGAGGGGAAACATCCTCACAGCATTTACCCTGTCAAGCCTCTTAAGAATCGTATATGTTTCAATGAGATCACCTCATTCTTCTAAACCCTAGTGAGTATATTCTCAACCTGTTTAGCCTCTGTCCATAAGACAATCCTTTAATACCTAATGAACCTTCTCTGAACAGCCTCCAAATGAAATGATGTCTTTCCTTAAAATAAGGGGACCAAAACTGCTCTCAGTACTCCAAATGTGGTCTCACCAGCACCTTGTGCAGGCACTGTATGTTTTCCCTACTCATATTCTAAACCCCTTGAAATATGGGCCAACATTTCATTAGCCTTCCTGATTACTTGCTGCACCTGTGTGCTAGCTTTCTACATTTTACGCACAAGTATACCTGAGTCCCTTTGTGTTACAGTGCTCTGCAGTTTTTCTCCATGTAAATAATACTGTTCTTTTGCTCTCCTTTCCAAAATAAGCAAAGTGATTTGTCAAACGCTTTCTGGAAGTCCAAATACAACATATCTACTGGTTCACCTCCATCCACTCTGGTCAAGACTTCCTCAAAAAACTCTAATAAATTAGTCGTTCACTATTTCCCTTTCATGAAGCCACGCTGACTCTGTTTTATCAAAGATTTTCCAACCACACTATTGCTTCCTAATAATCGATTAAAACAATTCCTAACAATGGGATTAGTCTAATCAGCCTATTGTTATACACTTCCCCTCCTCCCCTCTTGAATAGGAGCATCACATTGGTAATCTTCCAATCCTCCAGTACTTCTCCAGAATCAAAGGATTCTTGAACAATCACCAATGCATACAGTATGTCTGTTGCTACTTCTTTTAGGATCCTAGCATGCAAGCCATCACAGCCAGGGAACTTACGTGCCTTTAGTCCCATTTACTTGTCTAATACTAGTTCTCTGGTGATGGTGTTTAATTTCAACCACCCACATACCTCACCTCCACATTCTTCAGTATTAATGATTTTGAGACAGCCAATGTACAAAATAGTAACCAGTTTAACTTAGTTTGCCAACCTTAGATACTTTTCTGTGGAGAGCTAGTAAAACTTAGGTGCTTAAACTTAGATAACATTTAGAACTTAAATATGAAACATAAAGATAATTAGATTTTTGAGAAAGAGGTTAAAATTCCCCTTACTGAAATAGTGCCAACCACAAGAACCAGGCAGCTATTTTTTTTCCAGTTCACTTTTGAAGTACAAAAATGATAGCACTCCAAAGTAGGCTATACCAATTATGAATTCCACTCTTCAAGCAATGAAAGGAAAGAGATGTCAAAGAAACTCCCACAACTGCTTAACCACCTACACCTTATTCAAGCAAAAAGGAAACAAGACAGAAGACATACTTAAATGGAAAGAAGTTCTGATTCTGTAACTGAAGGACCAAGAGTAGCAACACAAACATGGAGACAATAAGGTAAGACACTGACCATATCCTTTGAAAATGCGAATGCATTGCTTTGAGAGATTACATTAATGTAAAAAATGTTTCTGTGGTTTATCAACTTAACCTTGTAGTTACAGCTTAAACAAACTTTACTTCATTCAGATGTATTCATGCAAACCTCCTAATGGCATCAGAAAGCCAAGGAAATGAAGTATCAGAGGCAAACTGCCAAACATCAATTGAGTTTGCGTCGATTACAAGGTTACAATCATTAAAATACTTTCAAACCAGAAGTAAATTATTTTATTCAACAAAGGGCCGGAAATGAAATTGTGTTAGCTGTTAGATATGCATGGAATAACATTCCAAGGAGTTTCACTTTCAATCTTTGGTCTTTAAATAATGTATTAATTTGTGGAAAATAACAACTGTATTAAGAACTATCAACATCACGTTCCAAATAAGAGTATTCCAGATTTCCGGAAGTGTTCCAGAAAGAAAAACGATAAGAAGATATATTTGATCATAATTTCTATTAAAATAATACATGACATTTAATTTATTTTTTCCTTAAATCATGAGTCATACCAGAGGACAGAGTGCAGCAATCCCATAAAACTGGATAACAGAGTTGTTCTTTGGCCACATTGACTCTAAGGATTTATTTTCCACCATCTCAGTCTGAATCCTGGCTAAATGTCTATTGCAAAACTCCTCATATTCCTCCATTGTCATCTGCTAATCATTTCTTCTATTGCTGTAAAACAAAGTGAATCACAGATTAGTGAGATCACAACTGTCATTCCAAATAAACTAGTTGTACGACTCCAAATATAATTCAAGTACCTATTTTTCTCACCAGTAGCAACATTAATTAGATTTATACTGAAGCTTCATAAAAAGAAAATGTTGGAGTGTTACTATGACATTCGCAAAAGGTTACGCTATTAGTCTTGTGCCTTACGAGTGCAACCAATCCACATTACCCAAAACTGCATATCAGTTACTTGAATTAAGTTTCCTTAAAATTTCTATTTCAACCATTTCTAGGTCATTAGAACATCATAGATATGCAAACAATAGGTGGTTTAATCAATGATATCATTTTTAAAAACATCAACTCATTTCATTTGACAAAGCCATGAAGTTCTTCTGTATTTTTACCAAAAGATATTCCTCCTCAAAATTACCTGATAGTGATAAAACCTGAAGTAAAACATAACTTAATAAAAATCTTTGTGCAGATCACACTCATTTCATGAAATTTCTCATCAGTGACATTTTAAAAATTTTACCAGCCTGTGTAAAAACTATAGATTCAAGCTTGCCGAGTCTCCAATTTATCTGGTTCCGACAAACACTGGACCAGGTTCCTATACTTAACAAGAACTACCATTTATCACAAAAAGTACATTCTAATCACAGCTATGAACAATCAACACATGGCTCTGAGTTAAAATCCTAAGTCCTCTCTTAAAACACCTAGGTATACACTGACAAACAAAAAAATTGTTTTATAGGTGGAAGGGGAAAAACAACAGTTCAACAGCATCAGTCCACAGCATTCGTTGAGATGTTCCTTCCGGCTTGCCAAGATTTTGTTGTTCAATCTCCTTTCTCTGGGTTCTCTCTCTTCTTTGCAGAAGGCACACATCAATTGATACATTATCTACAAAGCCTGTTACTGATTAAAGGCGAAACTCGTAGCAACTTTCTTCCGGTTTCAGGTATGTTTAATGCAGAAAGAGATACACAACCCGTTCTTCCAGCATTATCATTCACACTCACAAGGTGTTCAGCTATTTAGGACTAAATCACAGAAGTGTTGGCAGGCCAATGACCTTTGGAATCCAAGGCTGGTCACAATGTTACAAAGTAATCAGCAACTTGTTGCCAAGAAAAATTGCAGCTTGTATACACTCCAGTGCTGTGCTGTGCCATCTACAAACAACCACTACCACAGCTACTACAACAAAGTCGCAGTGTAAGCACCACACGCTGAATTTCAGCATCATTTTTCAAACTGCAGTAATTCCTTCCTCAATCCTTGATTTCAAAATAGTCCTTTCCCTGTTTTAATCCACAGTCAAAAATATATAAAATAAAACTACATGGTCTTTACACAAGTAATTAATTCACATATAGAATGAATGATTTTACAGTGAATAATAATTCACATATCCACTACATTTAAAACTAATTCTCGAGCTAGACAACTTATTTTCCTTTCTCCCAATGCAATATGACAAACTTGAGACACTGCAAAAAAATTCATACGCAGTATAAAGTAGCAGTTTGTTTCTATCAATTCCTGGTAATTCTATTGAAAATAGATTTGAACAGTCCTCTCAATCCTATCTTAGTTATATTGGTTTGGTTTGACTTGACTGCAATATTCTGAAGCAATTAAAACAAACTACCAAGAGTCTACCTAACCTATAATTACTTCAAGTGATCCTTCCAGACTGCACAAAAAAATTACTCAGACCTGTGAAACATATCTTGTTCTTTTGCTTCTCAATTTTCACTTTTAGCATTGAATTTAGAGTATTATCTTCAAGTTAGTTAGTTTGTTCATGGAGATCAGGGCTGGTACCATTTACTACCTCTTTTAGAGACAAAGGGAGTGATTATCCATGGCTGTTCAGGCAACAAAGTTATAAAGGCGCCAACTGGGGAGTCTTGAATTGAAATGCTTGTTTTACGCTGGTCTAATACAAGGAACTCCTTTGGCAAAGGAGCTGAATTATATCAGGAATGGCTGGCTGGAGGACAGGTAAGATATAGAAGCAGAATTACGCTATTCGTCCCATTGAATGGTGGTTCAGACTCACTCATGGTTGATATACTTTGCAACCCCATTCTCCTGCCTTCTCCCTGTAACCCTTGATCTGTTTACCAATCAAGAACCTTGTTATCTGTCTTAAATACACTCTAACTTGGTCTCCACAGCCCTGTGTCAATGTATTCCCCAGATTAAATACCATGATGCTGAAGAAATTCCTCCTCCTCTCAGCTCTACATTGTGATCACTTCATCCTGAGGCTGTGACCTCAGGTCCTAGTCTCTCCCACTCGTGGAAACCTTCTCTACATCCACTCTATCCAGGCCTCTCAGTATTCTGCAAGTTTCAATCAGATCCCCCTTACCCTTCTAAACTTCATGTACAGACCCAGAATCCTCAACTGCTCCTCACATGACAAGCCCTTCACCCCCAGGATCATTCTTGTAAAACTCTGGACCCCCTCCAAGGCCAGCACATCTTCCCTTAGATATAGGGCCCAAATCTGCTCACAATATTCCAAATGCAGTCTGACTAAAGCCTCTTATTGCTGAGGTGTATATCACTGAGTTTGTATTCTAGCCTTCCCAAAATGAATGCTAATATTGCATTTGCCTTTCTAACTGCCAACTGAACTTGCATGCTAATCTTGAGAGAATCCTGAACTAGGACTCCCATGTCTCTTTGCACTTCAGATTTCTGAAGCCTTTCCACATTCAGAAGATAGTCTACCCCTCTATTCTTCCACACTAAAGTGCATAACCTCACACTTCACATTGTATTCCATCTGCCGCTTCTTTGCCCATTCTGTCCAAGTACTTCTGCAGCCTCCCCGCTTCCTCAACACTACCTGTTCCTCCAATTAGCTTTGTGTCCATTGAGCAGCTCCTTACCTCTCAAGTTACCAGTTGTCTTAATGTAGCTGTACAACACTTTGGCAGACAACATTTGATTCAACTTCTCTCCTCACAGCAACCAGCTGTTTGGGAGAAAAACAGATATGGATATGTAAGAAGTGGAGAGGAAATAAGTGATGTTGGCTATTTAGCCCCTCAAGGACACTCCGTCATTCAATAAGATCCTGGCTGATATAATCTAATTCTCAACTCACCTTCCTGCCTGTCCATCCTATCCACTGACTTCTCTCTAGTTCAAAAATCTGACTATTTCAGGCTCAAATATACACAATGACTCAGCCTCCATTGCTCTCTGCAGTAGACAATGCCACTTCCAAAAAGTTTGTCTTTTGAGAAAAGCAATTCTGCTTTATCTTAAAAACTGAAAGAACTGTGGATGATGTAAATCAGAAACAACAGGAACTTATGGAAAAGCTCAGCAGTTCTGGTAGCATCTGTGGAGAGAATTCAGAGTTAACATTTCGGGTCCAGTGTGTTCTGAGGAAGGGTCATTCTACCCAAAACATTAACTCTGATTTCTCTCCATAGATGCTGCCAGGCCTGCTGACCTTTTCCAGCAACCCTTATTGTTGTTCCCTTTTTCTTCATCATAGAAATCCCTTATTTTGCCTCCGTGCCCCAAGATCTAGATTTCCCAACTAGAGGAAACATTCTTTCAACATGCTCCTTGGGACGTTTACTCATATTTCACCAAGATCACTTATTCTTCTCAGCTTTGAGTACAGACCCAATATCTTCTCAACTTCATCATAAGATTGCAATTTCACTTCAGGAATCAATAAGGCAACTCTCAACTGCCTCCAATGCAACTATACGCCTGTTTAAACAAGGAGACCAAAACTTTTATGCAGTACTCTGGTTGCAGCCTTTCCAATGCCCTGCACAATTTTAACAAGATTTCCCTTGTGCTATACTCCACTCCCCTGCAATCAAGGCCAACATTCTACTCATCCTAATTACCTGCTGTACATGCTAACTTTGTGTTTCAACCACAAGGAAACCCAAGTTTCTTTTGCTGTTCACTTGCTGCATGAGATTTGAAAAACTCTTGAAACACGTTGGGAGAGTCTCTAGAACACCATCAAGACTTCATCAGCATTATTAATATTTATTCCAGAAATATTCTAATGCTACTCTAACTTAAAGAATTCAGTGGGAAAGATGGTGTATGTGGCCATTCATGTTTTATTTGGAACTCTTGATCTGTCGAAGCAATAAGTTAGGTGGGAAAAGTGCAAATCCAGCGGCACCAACTGCTACAGGAGAAAAAGGTAGGAAGGTGAGGTGTGGGTAAAGAATATCGCTCCTCCTCTAATTTGCAGAAGTTGTGCAGCCTCTCAATGTCCTTGAATCAACCTGAAATATGCTGCTTTTCAACAAACACTCCACATATTCTTTTTTCAGAAGTTCTAGCAACATACCGAAATTTGGTCAAAAGATATTAAAGAGGCATCTTCTAAGCTTTAGTTGGCTATTTTTCAAAAGTTCTTGGAACTTGTAATCAAGTTGAGCACAACTCATGTTAAATTGTTGGCTTAATTTCCAAGCAACCACTTGAGTTCCCTTCAAACACTTGGTGAAAACAAATTTCTTGGTTAATCCAGTTCAATATTTTCCAGTTCTCCACGTAATTCAGATATGTTTTTCTCAACCTAAGACACAATATGGACATCCTTGTTTCTATCATCTTTCAGTAGTAATCTTTTTAACATTTTTATAAATTACATCTTTAGAAACCTGCTCTGCATTTTGCTTCTTTTCATGCTTTCTGACGAAAGCATTAAGAAATTGAAAAGCTTTCCAATTGCAATTTGTTAAACAAGCCAATCTTAATATGCATGAATGACACATAGAGCTAGGTGTCATGGTTTAAAAATATGGGTTGCACATTTAAGATGAGGAGATGAGAAAACAACTGAAACCTCTTGAACTCTTTTCCTCAAAAGGCAGAAGTAGAGTCTTCAAATATTTTTGAGACTGAAGGTGATAGATTCTTGATATAAACAAGGAAGGGGAACTTTAATCGGTGTTGGTGGGAGCATAGAACAATCAGATGACTGGCAGATCAGGCTGAAGGGCTTGCTCCTAATTCAAATGTTTGAATGTTTAAAATCCAAAGTAGAAATGTTCAAGTGCTAGCTTTAGCCTTTCCTTGACCACATTATTTGTGATGAATTATGTTAATCAAAATTCAAGGTGTTCTAACAAATTGGACCAACATTTGGGCAACCCATAATAGTTCACAAATGGGCAAAATACACTAGATACCCAAATAAAAGCAAAATACTGGACATGAAATAAAACAGAAAGTACTGAGAAATCTCAATAGGTCTGGCAACATCTGTGGAAATAGAAAGAGTTGGCATTCCAAGTCTAATATGGCGCTTCAATGGAACTTGAACCATACTGGAGTCAATGATCTTCCAACATTTTTTATTCGTGGAGACATTGCTGATTATAATTCCTGTCTGGAAATGTCAAGCACACGTGTCAAGAGTGTGAAATTAGGTTGTAATGTTAAAACCTTGAACAACTTACCAGTACACACAGATGAGATTCAACAATCAATCAAGCCTGCCCCTTCAAGCGAGAAGAAAATAGAAGTGAAAGACATATTGGCAAATATTTGTTACTCTTCAAATTACATTGTCTGTTGTGTTTGAAAATATTTCAAAATTTACTTGGTTACCAACCAGCTAAATACTGTGTCAGAGGTTAAAACTCAATATTACATAGTGATGCAGAATCCAAACGTAATCATAGAAAGAAAACTCTCTTTCCAGTCGGAGATGGGGAGGAAAAGCAAAGACTGCAGAATAGAAACATTTATAACAGACGGTTGCGTGTGTGCGTGGTACTAAGGAAAGCCCCACACAATGAGAAAACAACAGCAGCCACTGTTTAAACCGTTGACTTTACAGATGACAAAGCAGCTGCAATCAGGAATCCCGTGGGTGGATGCTGGAGCCTTCACAGGAGCTGCTTGCGGCACTCAGCCGGGAGAGAGCCGTCACCATCAGGAGGAGCCCAGGCCGGGGTTGCGGGAGCGGCCAAACGAGGCTAAAATCAAGCGGAGGAAGAGGGGGGCAGCATAACAAACCGGGACCGAGGTGGTGGACGAGGAGACGGCGGCGGCCCCAGGCGGACTGCGCTCACCTCTCACTAACAGCGGCCGGGGGAGGCGGCC